GGATTATAAAACTGCTATTTCTTACATACTAACTTGAATCCAACGACAATTAGGGTATTAATCCTTTATATAATAAAGCTTAAATCTAAAATCAGTCAGAACCCCTAGGTAATTTCAAACGTACTATTCCAAATGGCTTACATAATTGTTACTTCCTACCTTTTTATAATTTTTATCATGATAGAATATGCTTACCTGTCTGTTTTTTATATATTAACATATATTCTCTCAATTTTTACTGCACATTCCTTTAGAATTTTCTATTCCTGTCCAAGTTTCTCGCATGGCTCCCGATTCAACATCTATCGCTACCAACATCGACATCACCAACTTTAAAAACTCCTCTGGTTATGGCCATCTGTCTGATAAGATTTCTTTCACCTTGCGCGCAACTTCCCTTCTTGTTAGTATGACAACCTGCTCAAAATGTTCGGCCTGTAACGAACCGGCCTATGACGAGCAAATCGCGGTCGGTTGGTCTCCACTTTGTGACGCTGAAACCGTCACTCATTGTCCTCATTGCCGTGCTCGTATGCTTTTGCCTCGACTGACGATACGTGTCTTCGCGGAAACCGTTGGAATGTCGTCGCAACAACAGGCACGATGCGTTGTACCTCCTTCATACCCGGCTTCTTGCGGTCAAAGTTACTCTCGGGTTCAGTCGCCTAATCGGACAACAAGTAGAAAGATGGCAGTACGGCCGAGGTGAGAAAATGGAAGAGGGCGATTTAGGGCAGAGTGAATTAGTTTAAGCGAGTGGATGTGTATTTATTGTTATTGGATGTGTAATTATGCGAAAACCATTTATCCTCTGGTATAGTTTAGGATAATTTATTTACCTTTAAATACATTGTTTTTGTGTTTCACTTCTTAGGCATTCCAAATATTCCATAATTTTTATTAAATGAATACTATTGTTTTCTTCTACATGATTTAATCTCACTGGTGTCTTGCTATCACTTCTCGAGGATAGCTTTCTTTATATGCATTAAGACTTCCTTTTAACCACTCTAAATCTTAAGTCAAAGTGCCATTTAAAAGTAGTATGCATTGTGCAATTAGCGAAAATATAGGAACCTAATAATCATAAGCATTCTTTAATAAGAAGACAGGTACGCTAGGGTTCAGCATCATCATCGGCACGAGAGGACTAAATAAATAATAATATCTGGGAGGTCTCGTGTACTGCGTCAACCTGAACGTCGTATAAAAACCAAACGGCTGCAGTACGACGGGATTAATCCGTCCTATGAATCTCTTCTTCATGCACTTTCATACGAAATGAAAGTCCCCCCAACAATGTTATCTCAGGAGATTCAGTTTCTATTTATCTCTACAAAGTAAAAAGGATGACGGCTGTAACCTCACTCTCTTTTTATACACCTAGCCTTACGATATTAATGAGGCACTCCACGATTTTGTTTGTTATTAAGTAGATTTTCGCGACATCCAGTAAATCATATATATGAATTGTGTCCACCCTATTCCATTTAAGATGATGAATGACGGGTAGTTGAATTTTCCCACAATGATATGAGTAGAGTTGACGCTTTCATTTAATTTCACATAGCCTTGCTTTTCCAAAAGGTGGCCTGCAGTTTCTAACTCCTCTAGGTCTTGTCAACATCTCCAGCGGGAGTCGGACCATTACAGTGCAGTGTAATTTCGATACCTTAGCCACTACGCCACATTGCCGCGAGGGCCCTTGAGTCGCAGGGCTGATGTGAATTTCAAAGAAGGCTATGTTTGTTTTATATCACATTCTTTGGTGGAATTGTCGATAAGGCATATTTATATTTTCTATGGCAATCAACACCATTGCTTTTTTCGTTATTGAGTAGGATTTCGAAACTACCAGTAAATCAGATATATGAGTTGTTTTCATCAAGTCCTTTATCGCTTAAACTAAATCGGGTGAACACAACACATACTTCACGATTTGGTTGACTACCTTAAACTTACTCTACATGCTTACAGATAGGTAATGTTACTTCACGAACTGGAAGTGCGTTGACCAATTGTCTGCTAGACAATCGTAGTATCTCTTCTTTCGCCCTAGACTAATCACCAATCCTATATCCTCGTATCACGCTTTCACTATCACAATTTTTACTTGCTGACAGGCTTACGGTCAGCCTGTTTTACCATAGATGTGGTCCATGAAGCAGAGGCTTGCTCATGAGAATTACCCAGGGGCTTTAGCCTCAATTTAGTCTCCCAGACGCAGTATGGGAAATCACGCCCCGAGTATTACTGATGGGGTTGCAGGGGTCGAGTGAAATACTTGAACGAGAGAGATAGTAGACGGATTCTAGAGGCAAGAGGAAAACCCTGATAAGACCTAGGGCAGGACTGCAGAACAATATGACAGGCTCAGATCAACATTTCTGGTACAAGGGTTAAGATGAATGAGGGTTAAGAAATCCTGCGTGGGGTGTGGAGAGTTCTCACGAAATCCGCTCAAAAGGGCACACCATACCACATTTAAATAAGCATTTAAGAATTGTGATAGTATGGGCGTGATATGAGTTTATAAGATTGGTGATTAGCCCATGGGGAAGGTGAGATACCACGATTGTTTAGCTGACAATTGGTCAAAGGATCGGCTTCACTTGTCTCTTTGACGAGTTGTAGTGTTGTGCTAAGAATGGCAAGACTCCCTGACGGTGCTAACTACGATGCCAGCGAAACGTCTGGGAATGTATCATGAATCTGAAAATTATCATGCATACAATTGACTTTAGGCTTGGCGCATTCCTTTAAGTCTTCCTACCTATATTATCAAGTTGCGAAAACATGGTCAAACAATTCTATATGTATGCTTAGAGAATAAATTAATATTGAAACTCGCATGCGTGACTAAGTTTATGTGTATAAAAGGGCGACGAGTTACAATCTATTACATTTTCCCTTAGCCTGGTATATTTTTTCTCTATTTTGTAAAGTATGGATTCTTGCTCTGATTATATCCTCCACAATCCAGTCGAAAACTTAGCACAGGTTCGCCGGGATCGCGGAACAATGAGCTCAGGATTTCCTCACAGTCTTTCCTACAAGGCAATCCTACTTTGGTTTTCGGTGAGACTACATCACGAATTACTTCCAACCAATTTTTCCTTTACAATATATCACTATTGAATTCTTTTAAACCCAGTTTTTCTTCATATATTCGTAGTCTTGTTTCTTTCTTGTGAATTTTGCTCTCTACTCTCTTACCTCATGACTCGAGTCGTTCCTACGAAGCCTATTTTGTCAATAATGTGAGGAAATGCTGATGACAAGTTGTTCTTTCAAGACTTGTTTGCTTTTCTTCATCCTTCTATCATGCTAACCGAATCTTACAAAACTTTTCATATCTCACGTTTTTTTATCATCTTCCCTCAAACCTACAAGTGGTTCGCTCAGCCCAGTCCGACGGCGCTTTCCCTCGACCGTACGAAAAGGACTATTTGAACAGAGCGTTAGTCACCTTTTAATATATATGCTTATCACTGCTATACTATAATAATATATTTGTAAGTGCCTTATTGTAGGGCTGTCTAGCATGCGCTTGTTTCTGTACGTATTGCTTTTATTTCCCCACTTTAAAATCTACTATTTTTATTTAATTTTCTAATTTCTCTCTAGCCAATTATGATCTATACCTACCTGTTAAAAACGAAATTCCTTCCTTCGTATATAAGTAGAGTTTTGAGACTACCACTAAATCAGTTATATGAGGTGTATTCACCCTATTTCATTCAAATTAATAAAGGGCTGGTAATCTCGAAACTCCACTTATATACGAAAAATAACTAATCTAGTCGTTTGCTTCATTAACAATCCAACCAAAGAATGTGATATGGGAAAAGGCCTGGCCTTCCTTGAAATTAACATCTGCCCTGTAATCTAAGAGCACTCGCGGCAATTTGGTTGAGTGCTTAACGTGCCAGGCTCACATGCTGCACTATCACAGTTCGTCTCCCACTAATGCTATTGATAAGACCTAGGCGATGTTGAAACGGCAGTCCACCTTGGATGGGAACTACTTTTGGGAAAACAAAGTTATGTGAAATTCAATGGAAACGTCAGCTCTACTCATATTATTGTGACAAAATTATACTACCAGTCCTTCACCACCTTTAACAGGATAGGGTGTATACATCTCATATAATTTTTTTCTATTTCTTCGCCATCTATTTCCCTCGGTCACTCAGGTCTCTTATCTGAGCCCATTTTACCTGCGTCGGAAAATCGAGTCCCTAATGAGGCACGAGGGTGAGGTCGCCTGGCGTATGCCTGCATCCCTAGTTTCAAGACATGCAGAGCTGGCTTGGAACTTGATTTGGCAGTTTCAAAGGCTTGGTTTGCCCTCACACCTTCTTGACGGCCTTCCAAGTTGGCTTATCTACCTACGTCAACGGCAACTGGACGCTGCTACCGCTGCAGTCACAGGAAGCTCTGTTATTAACCTTTCAGACGACCAGTTCTCTCAAACCAGAACTGAATCAAAACCAAGCCTCACCGGCACTCTCTTTGTAGGAATACGCTATTTTTACATTTTTAAATTCATTATCACTAGTAGTTCATCAACTATTTTTAATATCATTCCATAAATGCAACCTTTATTTTAACAGGGAAATTTATAAATGGTTGAATATTAGTGGCGGCTTCTTATCGACGTATAACATAATTCAGACACGAAAACTCTTTGATACATATGCTTTCTCATTGATAAATCGCTATTTTGAATCTAATGTAGACTAATCCAGAATTAAAGCTAAGGCATCACGCTTACACCATGACCCTCTATTCTATTTGTTTGCATATCCCTTGTTGCAATCACACTGCCAAACTAGTATCTACATTTTTTCTATTTATGAATAATGTGTGCGTATTCATCTCGTTCTTTTCCTTTTTAGTTTACATTACATTCACCAGTAAACTACATTCATTATAGCCAGGCATCGTTGAGTGATCTCGAGTGTTCGTAATGAAAGAGTTTGCTACATTTATACTGGGCCATATAAGTGGAATTTCAATAAGTCATTGTCTTTGTTTTTAAAGCAGTTATATATACAATAATATACACAATAAGTTCATTTTCATTTAATTATCCATCTATTTCCATCTATTTACCAACCTTTTTCATACAATTTTTCTTATTTTATTGAATATTTCTGGTCAGCAGCTTGCTTAAATAGTAGGCTAGAATTTTGCAATTTCTTTCTTCGCATTTTTTGTTAGATTTCTTTGCATCATAATGTTTACCGATACCCCTTTTTATGCCATTTTATTCATTGGGGCCCGTAATAACATATCATATCCCTGATTTCACTTATCTCATTCTTGTACAGACGTTTTTCCTCTTGTCTAAGTAGACTGAATATTCAACTTGTTTCTTTAATATTCTTGTTTTCACAATCACTATTTGATAGAACTTTCTTCAGTACCATCTGTCTATCCTACATTGCATAGGCACGGTAGAGAGCTGATTTTAGGCTTGTATAAATACTGCTTTTACTTAAAGAAGAATGGAGTTGCATGAACTTTTTTGAAAAGGACTGCAATTTCTGCCTCCGAGCGTCCTCTCACTGCCATATTTTGAGGGTGACATTTATCTAGATCAGAAGAATCAGGCTAGCAAAACTGTAAACATATAAATATTGTCTGTATGGAATAAACTGAAAATGGCTGATGTAGAGTTTTGAGATATGAAATTAATCAAAGTAACCAGCAATGTTTTTTATACTGAATACATGGTTTGGGTGAAGAGGATCGCATTTCGTGGCATAAATTAGCTTAGGTTCAACTATTTCATGAAACCAGCCCGGCGATTTAAGACTACAAATTAACGGAACCCACACACGATTACTATTAATTCATCAATCTGCGAGAATTTATTTGCCCACTCGACTTGTTTTTTTAATAAATCTTTTTCATAAAATTTAATTTTAACACGTAACGTGATTGCTTAAATATGATTACTACGTTAAACCTAAGGAGATACTTACTTTTTACATTATCATTAAATGAATACTAGAGCTGCTCTTCAGTAACCGATCTCAGCAAAATATTAAGTTTATTCAGAAAAGATCGGCCTTATTGTTATTAATAGTCGGATTAAAGGAAACCTACTTGATTTTGAAAGCGATATTTTCTAGTGAATTTATCCCCGGATTATATGCTTTAATAGAAAAGTGCCATCATGACCTGTTATCAATTCACTAAAATTCTCTAGCAAAACCTCATCTCCAATTTCTTATGGACTTAGAGGAACGCACCTTGTCCGGAGTCCATTTTATGCAGCCAACTATCGCGACGAATTGGTCTCTTGCTTATTTGTTATGTCATATTCGTAGAAGTTGGACATCCATCTTTCGAATTGAGTATTTTATTTTGATCTTGGTTTCACTTTTATCTATACTTATTTGATTTTCTTTCCATTTCCCAATTTATGATTTGCCGTAGGAATTAGAGCTCGCCGAAGACGTGCCCGTACTATTTTGTGGTAGATGGGATACATATGACATCAATGGCGCAACAAATCAACCACTTTACAAACATTTTTCAAGAATGAATTCAGGTAAATCATATGTTGAACAAAAGCTCTTGTAATCCCAGGTCGAATAAGATGATGAAAGATTGATAATTAAATTTTTTTCAATGATATGAGTAGACCTCACATTTATACTGGATTTCACTTAGCCCTACTTCCTCACCGTATTTTCATCCTAGGTGGACGGCAATCTAGAGCTCCGTTAGGTCTCGTCAGCGTCCCCAACAGGATTCAACTATCCTAGGGTGATAGAATATATGAAGATCAAGATGTTGTGGCCTC